ATAAATCTCCTATTCAACACGTTTTATACTTTTGCAGATTTAATACAAAAATAGTTTATATCTTCTACAAGATAATTCAAGCGTACAAATTCATAAGATACATTTTGTGGCCGCATATTGTTATACCACAAATACTCGAACCGCTGGACCGCTCCTCTCGAACCGGGTTGCGTCTCCTTGATCGTCGGTACCTGCAAAGCACGCCGGGGGTGGTCCCGGCGCGAACACTCCGACGCTCAAGTCAGTGATGGTCTAGAGAGAAAACGGCAGAGTAACGAGATAGCTTGTGTATGTGTGTTGTGTAAAATGAATGAACCTGCTCCCTTTTATAGGAGAAATTTGGAGAGTCCCAGTGGGATAAGAAGTCTTTCTTGTGTGAACTACTTAATTAAGTCAAGAATATCCTGAATTGCAAGAGTCCTTGTCGCTACCAACTCCTTCGTAACTTGATCCCGAAGCCATCTTCGGGTTCTAGTCCCTTCGACCGCATACGAGGGCCGCCGAACACACGAGGGCCGCTGAGCGCACGAGGGCTGCCGGGCACCTCCCAAGGCCGAGCACCCGCTGAAGGCCTTACGCCGAGCACTCGCCCACGCCGGACACTCATCATACCGGACGATGTCGTGCCAAACACTTCATCCCGACCACCTCCAATGCCGAGCACTTGAGGGGCGCCGAACACCGTGCGACGCCGAGCACTCCAACTGCCCGACTACCGTAATGCTCAGCCGGTCCCCTTCATAATCTATACTTATATAATTGTGTAACAGATAGACCTAATTAATAAGTCTAGTTTTATAATCTATACTTATATAATAAGGTATCTTATTTACCAAATTTAGTAGGTTGAAAAGTCGACGTAATTAATGCATTTCTATTTCTATCCAAAATTTTAATTTATTATTTTATTTATTTTGCCTTATATCCCATAAAATCAATTTAAGAAAATAAATCACATAACATCTGATAAGTAAAAAAAAAAAAACAACGTAAAATCTTTACTAAAATAAAAAAGACTTTATTTATTTGTCTTATTCCATATTAACATCGATTTTGTCAAAACAAATCCCATAAAATCGGTGAAGTCAAAATTTGTACGTAAAGTCTATCTATACTTAAAAAAAACAGATTCAAAATTATTTATCTAATTCCTTCTTTTCCTTATCTTATTCCTTCTTATTATCTAAATGTATTGAAATCTGTTTTGATTTTGGTCAATCCTCTAATATACTATATCCCATAAAATCGTTTTACCAAAAAAAAACCTCATAACATCCGATAAGTAAAAAAAAAGTACGTAAAATATATACTAAAATAAAAAAGGTTTTATTTATTTTTTAATTTATTATCTAATTGTATAGAAATCTGTTCTGATTTTGTTCAAACTGATTTCTGTATATTCAGATTCAGATTTTCTAATAAAAATATTAACAGAAATATATATCTACTCTACCCATTATAAATTACAAATCTCAAAATAATTATTTGAATTATTTGAATTTTTGTTTTAATTTCGAAATTTGAAACGTATATTTTAATTTTTTTTTTGTGTATGTATTTAGATATTTTTGTACATGTTTAGTGAAATATGTTTTCAATTTTTTTTTTAATTATATTTTCATATTTACAATTTGGTTTATTTATTTTACATATCGTGTATGTATTTAGATATTTACATTATTTATATTTAAGTATTGTTAAACGTTTATTGAATATTGTATTCTATAGTATAATATTCCTCAAGTAAATATATCATGTGCCTCGCACAGGTCACGTACTATATATCTTGTACATTTTTCTTTATTCATTTATATAATTATAAGGCTTTATAAATGACCTTAAAATTGTGCACCCCGTGCATCGCACGGGCTCTATACTAGTATTATTGATTGTGTAAACAATTAATTTTTAATTTGCAAATAAATTAAGAGTAATGCTATAAAACCCACTTTGATGACAACATGGGTTACCGCATAAGTGTAAATGATACATCATCAAGTAGGGAGTAAAAAACAACCATTAAAGTCTCAAAATTATGGGAGATTTTATGGTCCCATTACGAAACCATTCAGTTGGGTTCTTTTAACCGTTAGATCAACCATCCACGACGGTAACATGATGATCTAACGGTTACAAATCTCGACGGAATAGTTCCGTAACGAGACTGTAACAACTCTCCAAAATTATATATACCAAATTAAAAGAAGACATTTATATATATCCTTAAAACAAATAATTATGCTGACAGATGTAGAATTAATTATAACATATAGTATGCTGGGAAATAGAAGTGACAGTTGATAACCATATTATAATTGTGTACTCATAATAATTAGCACATGATATATCAGAAAATATATACTTTCCACACCCAGGCCGGGCCGGCCTTATTTAACAACTCTATTCTCACGTGCATCACTTTGGGCTTCGAATCGGAATATTCCAAATCGATCGATCGAAGCACTAATTCATAAGTACTTTATTTCATTCCAATTAATTACATCTATCTCTGGGCATATGCATGCAGAAACATTAATTATTTCCCACTTTTCTATAGTTGCATGAGTATGTAATAATAACTATTCATTTCATCAAATTAAGGTTCGTCACCATACAGAAAGAATACGCAATAGATCTCCTTTTTTATTTTATTTTTTCATTTCTTATAATTATTAGGCGGATCAATCTGTAATATTTTTATTTATTTATTTTTTTAAAGTTGTACTTTAAAAAAAAAAAATTGTTTTTAACATGTGTCAAATTTGAATAAAGAAAATAAAAAATTTATAGAAATAGTATGCCGTCTAATGGTTAGACTAATTCAGCTAACTGAACAATTGTAGTTATTTTTCATTTTCACACATATATATATATATATATATATATATATTATTAACACCTTGACTCATATCCAAATTATCTATATATCTATCTATCTATTCACATCTTTTATTTGGGCACTAATTAATTATTAAGTACCATAAAAAGAAGAGTCTTTCCAAAATGGATTGTTCAGAAATAATATTTGATGAGGGTTCAACTAACCCTCAGCCCCCCCAGCCCAGGCTAGCCGTGACCCTGCCTGGTGAGCCCAGTCTAGCCGTGACCCTGACTGGCTCGTGTCCCGGAGGACCCACCGACTCGAATGAGTCCCACAGTGGACTCATGGCCTTCCACACTGCTCAAGTGTGGTTTTTGCCGTCCCCAGCATTCGAACTTGTGACACTGAGCATAAGGTCACCAAGCATGCAATGCTGGTACCATCCCTCATCAATATTGATCTTGAGAGATCTACAATAATTGACTACAATTATATGCACAGTCCTGCACTTGTGAGCTCATATGATATTATTCACCATATATATTATAGCACCATTTTTCCTTCTTTTTTTCTCCATTAGAGTGTATATGTGTTTGTGGGGTACGTCTTTGTGTGTGTAGTGTAGTGCATATAGTGGATGCCCATTTTTCACAAAAAGCGACAAGATCACTTATCATATATTTCATTTATTGGATGTCTTTGGTAAGGACTATTGGATAATATTATTGCCTACTAGTATTAATTCAATTATTACATGATTTATAGAAATAAATCTTGGCTACAAGAGCAAAAATGAAAAAGTCTTGTATCACTTGCAATTAGACATGGCCAGAACTCGGTTCTGAATCGCGCTTGTGGGGACCTCTGCACAGAATCGGTTCGTTAGTTCCAGGCCAAACCAATAAATTAAAAAAGATAAATAAAAAAAAATTAAATAAAAAATAACCGACTGTTCAAATTGTGAAAATCATAAACCTGAACTGGCTCGAGCAAAGCCACAGGTCTGACCGTGCCGATTCGGCTAGTGAACATGTCTACTTGCAATATCTTTTTAAAATAAACACAGACAATTTATCAAAAAAAAATTAAAATAAAAGGCTAAAGTAGGAAATCAAAACGTGTGAGAAAAAAAGGTCAGAGGTGAGGGCTACATGGGTCAAACTCTCTATTCTCGGTCATAATAACTTGACAATTCAAATACAAACACTATATATAATATAATACTTCCTCTAGAATCCAAAGCAAACCAACTTATACATTAGAGGATTAGTTACTTATTTTAATACAATCAACCTAAATTATTCTCCAAAACCAAATACTATTAATTTAATACCATAAATAAAGTAATAAACACCACTCCTTTACACTACACCCCCAATACCCATAGGCCAACAACAAACCGTGAAATCAAATGATCTCACACATATATATATCCATATAATAAAAAAGTCCAGTAGAATCGATTTTTTTCCAGCAAAGTCATTAAAAACCAAAAGTGTACACACAAATATTAGGGTTATAAACCACTTCAATCGAGCTTGATTCATTAACTTAATGAGTAAGCAATAGAACTCGACCTCAGCTTGATATTAACGAGTTGAGCTCGATCGTTGACAAATCGAACTTGACTATTAGCCCTTTTCGAGTTTTAACGAGTTGAGTCGAGTTTCGCTCGATAATGGATCTAACTTTAAACGAGCTTTGACTCTTTTATCAACCGGGCAGAACCGAGCTTGAGACTTGAACAATCAAGTCGGGCAGAGTTTAGCTCACGAGTGACTCATTTTATTTGACTTTTCTACACAAAATAGTTAGTTTTGTTTGCTTTTTTCGGGTACAAATCCAATATTACGTAATTAAAAGCAAAACAAAATAATAAAAGTTTTTTTTTTTTTTTTAACCTTGTACACAGTAGTTCTTCCCCACTCTTTCTCTCTCATTCTTTTCCGCTACTACCCGACGACCCTCTCCTTGCTGTAAAAAGCCCATAAAATAAAATAAAATAAAATAAACAAACAGACAAACAAATCAAGAAAAAAAGATTCCGTTCACCTCCTCCTCCCTTTTCCTCCACAACCCTAAACCCATATACCTTTAATCAATTTCATTCCTTTCACCTTTCTCTTTTTTCCCCTTCCCAAATTACATGTATTTTCCAGCTCAAATCCATTGATTTCCGATGGGCTGCGCCACTTCGAAGCTCGACGACTCGCCGGCGGTCGCTCTGTGCCGCGAACGCTGCGCTTTTCTCGACGAGGCTATTCAACAGCGTTTCGCCTTCGCAGAGGCCCACGTGGCCTACTTCCACTCCCTCAAGTCCGTCGGCCTCTCTCTCGACCGCTTCTTCAGCCAAGATCTCGGTGGTTCTTCTAGCGGCCCGCCCTCCCCTGTTCTCAATCTCCCGGCTAAGCGGAAGGGGGACCCACATCCTCCGGAGCCGTCCGGTTCCCCGCCGGAGAAGATCCAGCACCACCTGGACTCCAGCTCCGATTCCGGTTCGCATCTCCACTTCCACTCGGACGAGTCGGACAATGAGGATGGATCCGGTTCGGAGTCCCTGCATCATCCCGATGAGGTCGGCCCGCCGGTCCAGCACCAGCCACCGCCGTACCTCCCCTTCGGCGGCTATTTCCCTGGTTACAATAATCTTAACATGAATCTCCCCGGTCCCGGCGGCGGCGGCGGGTTTATGAATATAAATTACATGAGGAGCCAAACGACGCCGTCCATGGTCTACACACACCGGCCCATGAGCCCCGAGACGATGCATATGACTGAATCCTCTGCTCCTTCATCTTCGTACTACTCTTATCCTAATACTCAGAGCTCTAATCCTTCTTATCTCATGTATAATTCCAATAATAATTACGGGGATTATCCGAGTTACCCTCCCTACGGCGCCGGAGGTGGATTCTGGGGTGGCTCTTCTTCATCTGCTCCGTCGGGGGCTTCAACTTCTAAAGTACCGCCACCTCCACCCGCGCCCCCGAGCTCCACTACCTGGGATTTTCTCAACCCGTTTGAGAGCTTCGAGAAATTTTATCCCCCTTATACCCCTAGCCGGGATTCAAGGGAGGTGAGAGAGGAAGAAGGGATTCCGGAATTAGAGGATGATGAAGATGAAGTTGTGAAGGAGATTTATGGGGACCGGAAGTTTGTGGATAGCGGGAGAAGCAGCCACTCGAAGCCTGGGGTATCCGAGGAAGATGCTCGGGTCGCGAAGGAGGCTGAGTTACAGTATAGAGCAAGGCCGAACGTGGGGAAGGAGAGTGAGCCCCCTGTGGAATATGAAGTTCATATGGTGGATAAAAAGGTTGTTGATTCAGAGAAGTCGAAGGATCAGGGGAATACAGCACCGCGTAGTGGGTTCAAGGGGGATTTGGATGTCCTTAGGGAGATTCAAGTTCAGTTTGAGCATGCTTCCGAGTCCGGAAGTGAGCTGGCTAAGTTTCTTGAGGCCGGGAAGCTTCCTTATAAGCGAAAACATGGCGGCCATCATGGTAAAGATTTGATTTTTTTCACCCTGTGATTGGTTGCCAATATTTGACCTTACGTGTGAGTGGCGTCAAGATTTTATTTTTTGAGCAATTGGCGTGAGGATTTTGTATTTACGTATAATCAATCCCGAATTGGCATGAAGATGCCATTTTTGGTTAGTCGGGGGAAGCATTGCCCTTTTCATTTATTTTACGTCAAAGATTTATTAAATTTTCAATTATAATAGCTTTCTAATTTGTTTCCAGTAAAAGATTATTTAATTTACAATTGTAATCTGGTCGACTAGATATAATAAGGGCTTCATTCTGATCAAGTTTTGATTGTTTTGATGAAATGGTTAGATGGATATGCTTTATCTGGGATGAATTGTATTTGATGTTTAATTTTTATACAGCAGTTTCTTCCAAGATGTTGCATTTATCTTTGGTGTCCTCCCAATCTTCGACATCTAAAAGTTCCGGCGGTGCTAATCCGGACTTGTTAGACATCAACCAAGAATTAGAGCTTAGGTCCAAGAATCTTTCCTCTACCTTACATAAACTGTACCTCTGGGAGAAGAAACTGTACGAAGAAGTCAAGGTACAATGTTAATTTCTTCATTAACTCCCTGTGCCTTTCATTCTTCTTCCTTCTTCCTGCTACAAAACTATCTGCTTTTGGACAACTGTAGTTGCTCCATTATGCGTGTGCTTTATGGTACGTGGGCCCCTCAGGTGGCACTTTTTCCAAGAATGTATTCAAGATTCAGTGATAGATGGTTTTCCTTATCTAATATGTCATCGACATTAAATTTCTTGTTTATATTGTGAGATAGATGATGAGAGAGTTTTTCCGGAGCAGTTCACAGTCATTTATTATGCCTTGCCAATCTGTTTCGTTATGTTTACCGCATTATGTTTCACCTTTATTATTCGATTTGGTAAGCAAAATCTGATTTTTAAATTGTAACACAATGCACTTTCTGTAGAATACTAATGCAGTTTAAGAGGTGAGGTTCTGGTACAGCATATGAATAATGCTCCCCACGCTTGCATAGTCAGGAATAAGATCAATAGTTTGATGAGAGCAAAATGTGATAAGTGAGTATATAATTATTTTGCAGGTCGAAGAAAAGATGAGAGTCCTCCACGAGCGCAAGTCCAAAAAATTAAAGCGCTTGGATGAAAAGGGTGCCGAGGCTCAGAAAGTAGATGCAACCAGGACTTTAGTCAAGAGCTTGTCCACAAAAATTAGAATCGCGATTCAGGTAGTTGATAAGATATCTGTTAAGATAAATACCTTGAGAGACGAGGAATTGTGGCCACAGCTCAACGAATTCATTCAAGGGTAAAGTGAAAATGTCCTAGTCCTTTTTCATTAAAACTGCATATATCCTAGATCATCATTCGATAAAAATGAGTATCTTGATTGTACCTTTCCCAATATATATCTATAGGTTGACTAGTATGTGGAAATCGATGCTCGAGTGCCACCACTCCCAGTGCCAAGCCATGGCCGAGGCCAAAAGACTCGACTCCATTGCTCTTCGTAAACACTTAAACGATGCGCAGTTCGAGGCAACCCAACAGCTCGAGCACGATCTTGTAAACTGGACCCTGAGATTCTCATATTGGGTCGGGGCCCAAAAGGGCTACGTTCGGGCCCTACACAGCTGGCTCATGAAATGCTTACTCTACGTTCCGGAAGAAACTCCTGATGGGATAGTCCCCTTCTCCCCCAGCCGTGTCGGGGCACCCCCAATATTTGTTATCTGCAACCAGTGGTGGCAGTCTCTCGAGCGAGTCTCTGAAAAGGAAGTGATCGACTCCATGCGTGACCTGGCATCGAACGTGCTCCAGCTGTGGGACCGGGACAAGGCCGAGATGAGGCAGAACATGCTCGCCAATAAAGACGAGCGGAAAATCAAGAATCTTGATAAGGAGGAGCAGAGAATTCAGAAGGAGATTCACGCGCTCGACAAAAGAGTTCTTCTAAGTTTGGGAGATGATGGCGGGATGATGCTGACTGGACATGTCGTGTACGCTAACGAGACTTCCAAAGAGGGGAGCTTCCAGTCGAGCCTGCAGCACGTGCTCGAGGCTATGGAGAGGTTTTGCGCGAGCTCAGTTAAAGTGTACGAGGATTTGTTGCAACGTATTGAGGAAGATCATCTCGCCCGAAGAGAGCGAAAAACGGATTCATAGCAGTCGAGCCAATTTTTGTTGTTGTTGTTGTTGTATATTAGTAGGCTTACTAGTTGTTGTATCGATATTTTCTTGTACAGGAATTCTTTTACCTGTTGATGGTATATGTTTTGTTGGGACTGAAAATGTAGCTTCAATAAAAGGAAGGTATTCATGAGTAGAGTTCCTTTTTTTTTTTTTTTTTTAATTATCTGCTATTTGTCAAAAGGAATTATGGTGGTGGATGAATGGAAATTGACAGTAACTAACTGCAGTGTTCATTCACCCCTTCATTTTTTTATTTTATATTTTTTTTT